GGCTGTGCTGGGGGCCTCTGCCCGCCCCGCGGCGCCGCAGCCCCGCATCTCTCCCGCCCTTGGCTCCGACTCCGCGGCCGGCGGCACAGAGGAGCCGGCGGAACCCTGGATCACTGGTACGTTGGACTGGGATCGCCACTCCTTCTGCAACCTTTTGTGAGGTTTTTTTTTTTTTTTTTTTTTTTTTGGAAGGACATCTCTAGGCCAAGATGTAACCACAAAGATGGCATTTGGGATGGAGCACCTGAGCCCAGGCTCTGAAAGGCCTTCAGAATACAAGTTCAATTCAACAATTGGGACTAGTCCTTTTAAAGCATGTCTCTTTTTTATTATTTACGGATTGAACTGAACTGCTCTTTGTGGAACACACAGTAAGCCTTGCAAAGTGTCTTCATATTGCTTTTAACTCTCACAGGCCCACAGCCACAGGTCTCATAGGCCCCACGCAATCTAATTCAGATGGTCCATAGACAGAACCCTGATGAACCACATGTAAAGCTATTGTCAGCCATGCCTGACTAGTGAATAGGTGTTCTTTATGACACTCAGGAACTAACCTAACTTTTGACTGGGCCTTTAATCCCAGCACTCAGGAGGCAGAGGCAGGTGGATCTCTGTGGGTTCGAGACCAGCCTGGTCTATAAGAGGTCCTTCTAGGACAACCTCCAAAGCCACAGAGAAACCCTGTCTCGAAAAACAAACAATCAAACAAAAATAAGCCAAAAACAAAAAACGAAAAAGAATCTCAGAGATTGGAACACAGGGCACCACCTTGCAAGGGACACAGGTGGAGATTATGCCCCCTCGTGGAGCTAGCCTTGAGCCTAGTGAACCGAGAGAGGCCAGTTTGGATTTTATTGCTTCTGGCCAAAGAACATTGCTAAATTTTCAGAACAAAGGAGGCCAAGTTACAAGGTGTTCTCCTGAAAAGATTATGAGTTCAGCCAGGGGAAAAATGAAATCAAGTGCCTTAAAGTAAAATGTAATGTTTTCAGGTAGATTTACAAGAATGAAATTCATAACAACACACTGCTGCGATAGATTCTTCTCCTAAGGTACCATGAGATAAACAAAAACGACAACCCAAAAAAGAAATGTTAAAAAATCTGACCACTTACGCATTCAACAGCAGTACGATGCACTAGGGTCTATTATTCGAGCACTAGGGTCTATTATTCGAGAAGTTACATGTGTACCACATTGGGGAAGAGTAACTATTATTTTGAGAACATTTATGAATCTGGCCTCTTCCTTCCGTTTTCTGACACTTAAATCAGAGCACACGAGAGGCAATCCAGTAAATACCCTTCACTTCAGAGAAACCTGAAGCCATCTCTTGGGCCCAGAGTGTTTATATTTACTAATTTGTTGGGGACATATATAAACTCTGGAACAAAACCGACTCGGTTAAGTTTGTACTAGTCTATGACTCTTTGTGTTCGGATAAAGCACCCTTTCAAACACCAAACAAGACTGGAACCCCGATTTACATTTAGAAGCACAAAAACAGCCCAGCCCTATATTAGGGCTGTGACTTTAAGAAAGTTCCTCACGTTTTTCTGTATCTCTAAAATGCTGATTAGAACAGTTGAAAGATGTAAACTTGGAAATGTGTGTCAAAAGGGTTGGCACCTAGAGCTAAATAAATACCAGCAAACATTTGTGTGCTGAATTTAAACCACTTTGTCAGGGGAGAGGCACACAGATAGAGAAAAGATAATTTTGCTGGGAAAGGCATGCCATTCCTGCAAACCCAGAGCTCTGGAGAGAAGGCAGGAAGCTTCTCTGGAGCTTGAGCCCAGCCTAAGCCACAGAGAGAGACCCTGTGAAGAAAGAAAATAAAAGGGGGGGGGGAGGCGGGGAGAGGAAGGAAAAGAGAAGAGAAACAAATGACTCAGAATCTGAATTTGGCCTTCACCCCGCCCCCCTTATATAGCTCTCTCTCTCTCTCTCTCTCTCTCTCTCCTCCCTCTCTCTCTCTCTCTTTTCTTTCCTTTTTTTTAAAAAATGAAGAATTGCAGTGTAATTTGTAACTTCATGGGCTTCTGCTCTCCTCAACTTCTGCTCAGCAGAAACTCACAAATGACAGCCATGCCCACACAGCTCAGCACACCGCTCGGTGGGAACCGTCCTCATTCCCAGGCCTGCGAGCTGCGG